TAGTTCCCTGGTGATTCATGATGTTGAGTATCTTTTCATATGTTCATTTGCTGGTTGCATATCTTCTTTTTTATTTTAAAGAATTTTATTTAACCATATTTATTTATTTATTTGTTTATTTATTCTTACATACATACATACATACCAGAGAGAGAGAGAGAGAAAGTAAGAAAGCAAGCCACCAGGTCCAGGACTTGAACTGTGGTTGGCCATGTGGGAGTCCAGTGCCCTTAACCACCAAACCACCTGCCAGCCTCAACCAGTTGTATATCTTCTTTGGAGAACTCTGTTTAGATCCTTTGCTTTATTTTTATTTTTTATTTTTTTAGGTTTAAATAATCTTTTTTAATAGTAAATATCAGAAGCAAATTCCTGGTCCTTAAAATTCAGCTATTTGATGTGCTCATGAGTGATCAATTTTCCCTGAACTTAACTGTAAAGTTTTCATTCCATGATGATTTGGAAGGACTATCTCCAAAGCAGTGTAAGCAGTATCTGGCTGTTTTCTAACCAGCTGAATTTTATTCGTTGCATAATAAGCCACGCAACATCTTTCGGCTAAAAAAAACACTACATTTGAATAAAGATATTACAAAATGGATTAGAACCCAAGTAAAATTTGCTTTGGTGAAGAGAACACAATTCTTTTCTTCCTTCCTTTCTTTTCTTTTTTTTTTTTTTTTTTTTTTTTTTTGAGAGGTTTTTGCTATAGGGCATATGCACTCGCCAGAAAGACAGAGAGACAGAGAGACAGAAAGCGAGAAATCACCCCCCGCCACTAGGGGGGATGGCCATGCCGCAATGGTCATGTGCGTATTCTCCTCTGGGGATCTTGAGCACGCATTCACGTGTGCCCAGCGTGAGTTTAAGCCACTGGGTCTGGGACTCGAACCGTGGTTGACTACATGAGAGTCCAGCAACATAGCCATTATGCCAACTGCTGTTCCCGAGAACGCCAGCCTCCAGGCCCAGGACTCAAACCATGGTTGGTCATGTGCGAGTGTCCAGCACCTTAGCCACCATGCCATCTGCTGGTCTCCAAGAAAAACATTTTTATAGACTATTGTTTAGTTTATTTTTAACACCCATCGTGCTGTGAATTCATAGGGAATAGGTTCCAGAAGCTTGTCCTTTCCATTGGTTCTCACAAAGTGTGCTTCTCTGGGTGGAGCAGGCTGGTGCTTCAGTTGAACCCAGGTACCTTTCTCCTTGGCTTCCTTCTTTTACTGGTCATTTTCCTTCACAAGTTTTAGGAATCTATCTCTGCTCTTAGAATGTTTAATATGCTCAATACACACACCAGTTCTCTTGGCAATAATCTTGTCCTTGTTTGTTTACAACGCTTGTAAACAGAACAATGCATATTTACAATGTATGCTGGGTAACATTGTAGACTCTTCTAGTTTTGCTATGGCAACATTTGTGGGGCATTCTTTTTTGAACAGTACCCATTCCCTTGATGTCTACAATATTACCTTTCTTGTAGATTTGCATGTTTGTGGCCAAAGGAACCACTCCATGTTTTCTAAATGGCCAAGAGAACATATACTGGGGACTCTCCTCTTTCC